AATATTACACAACGAGGAAGTGGTATTCGAGGAGAGAAGTCGTTTCCAGATAACGAAATGGGAATCGGCCCCGTGTCAGACCGCGGCTACTTTCTTTATCGATAGCCAAGAGCTCCCATACCCCAGTCCTCGCCCCCTGGCCCCCAAAGCTCCACATTCCACATGTAACCTTCCAGACCCTTGCAATGGCAATTGCTTGTAGTCACAACAACACCTTGCTGATGTTGTCGTCGAAAGTCCAACCGCATGATATCGATATATATCTTGGCTCGTAATTAGTATATCCATTGCGTATCCGTAGTTACATTCGAGACGGCGTTCAAAGCAACTCACAAAATCTCCAGTCCCACATTATCACGTGATGGTTATGAATATGTTGGGCATACAGTACAAAATACAAACGAGAAATCTTCGGCGAAGATATTGGTGATATCTTTTTGAAAACCTAATGGTGCGTTTTGCGTCAAATCTATATGTGCGCGTTTATTTATGGCAAAACTGGTACTTGGGCAGTGTGATGTAACGTGTACCAACATGATGTTGTTGTAACAGGAAAGCTATTAGACCGCTGGCGCGTAGTACGTAGCATATGTCCGCTACAATATCAGTTCAAGAGGATATTATTGCATGATAAGTGGTTATACAACCAAAAATTAACCGCATTATAAACCCATTGTTTTGAGAGTTATGTATGTCCTAAAGTTGCAATTGTTGAATACTCTATTTAATGATAAATTTCGTAGAGCATGATGACAACTTCCCTACTGTTAACGCTACTCAGCATTTAAAATATTCGGCTCACCCGACTAGATTGATATCGCCGACATTTATCGAGTTCTTTATCGATCTCTTAAGTTATATTTCCGGATATTGTGGGTCGTGCTTACAATATGCCTGCGCGTTTTATAGCGTGCATAGATCTAGACCGCCTATAGTTACGTAAAATACGGCGGGGTAACACAAGTGCGGGGGCCGTTTATCGGAGCCCACTTCGTAGTTTTGGACAGAGGGTAGAGAAAGTAGTCGAATCGATGGAACCGAAATCCTTAGCTACATATTCAGCTGTGTCACCGTTGGAACCCAGCACGGACCCCTACTCAATAATATAAATTCATGACCACGATCAGGAGTCGAGTCAGCGAGCCAGGTTTAATTTATATAGCGTATCTATATCTCGTAAGCCTGTCTTGATCTCAGATATCAAACCACATAATACATAGTGTGGAAATAATTTTAGATCGCCAGGGTGCATGCCCGCCTGCTTGTTCCACGTATTTTTTTGGCCATGGCACACGGCTGCAATAACTTAGGTACCCTTGATTTCATGGCGCCTGATTAACACGCTGGTTCCACATACCAATTGATTGATTGCAAAGACCTCTCACATAAGTTTTCCCCACTTCCATATATCTCAGCAAATATACAAACTACACCTCAATGTCATCTTCAAATTTCACTTCAGCTCAGAGATGACGAGAACAATCAGCAGACGGACAGACATTAATCTATAAAGTGCCACGTAGAGGTGTCCCATTGGGGGCCAAGAAACTGATGCATGACCCCGCTCCTGTTATGTCGAATTCATGAATTTCAAAACTTCGTAGCCTTGCAATGAGCTCCAATTGCATACAGGTAGCGCCACAATTGCCAAAAATTAGCATAAGACGTACCCACCACGCATAAATTGATTAGGGTGTTCGATAATAGTAGCTAGCTAAGAACATCATATCCTGAGATTCTCACAGTTTCGAACGTACTATATTATTACCATAACACCCCCAAACTTCAAAGACTGCCCTGTTCCTACTATAACTTATATTAGCTATTTGAGCTAACTAGCCGCTGCCGGTGAACCTCTGCGATATATACCCGACAAAATCCAACGGGCCACAACACTTCTACATGTTCCCTGAATAGATCTATAGAAGACGGAGCTGGAGGTATAAGATATCCATAGTCATGAGCAACGACCTCAGAGTCTGGATAGAGCCAAAAAGCCACTCGATCGAGGGCCATACAGCCAAATGTTCACTCTACTTCAACGATAGAATTATCTGGGGTCCCCGCCATTGCCACAACAATACTGTTAGGCTGCGAGACGCCCTCAATGCCGCGGATCCACGTTTTCGATTGGACGTTAGCCCGAAGGGCAAGACGATTGAAGGTCATACATACGCGATTAGTGTTAAGGCTGGTGATAGACTTTATTTGGACCGGCTGTCTACTCATGGTCATATGCTTGAGTTATGCAATGCTATTGAGGAATGTTTAGCTGCCGAAAGAAGGAAGGTTTCGCAGGTATGTTGGCCCTGTTCTGGTATATATTTGAAATTTTGATTCCTTACAAGTGGCCCTAGAATACGCCGAACCCAGTACCGGAACTACCACCGCCATCCCAAGCGCCTAGACCGTCCCCTCCCCGACATCAGCCAGGTCCGAGTGAGACCCCACCACCGGTGTCCTCCCCTCATCACCCCCCGACCCCCCCTGAATCTCCAAATTCCAAAGCCTCAACTCGCCCTAGTAGCCGCCATGGTTTCGAAATAGCGATAATATGCGCGCTAAGGGTAGAGCATGATGCCGTTGAAGCCTTCCTGGACGAAGAATTCGAAATCGACGGTTTCTCCTACGGAAAAGCCCCTGGTGACTATAATGCTTACACCACCGGTCGGATTGGTTCGAAGCCTGTGGTTCTGGCTTATATGCCTAACATGGGAAAAGCAGCTGCAGCCGTGGTGTCCAGTCAGCTACATATGAGTTTTACCCGATTGAAAGTTGTTTTCCTGGTGGGTATTTGTGGTGCTGCACCAATGGATTCAAGGGATAGGCAGACGTTTCTAGGAGATATCATGATTAGTACGGCTGTTATTCAGTTCGACTTTGGAAGACAGTATGCGGATGGCTTCATTCGGAAGAACACACTAGAGGATAATCTCGGTCGGGCGAATCCAGAGATTCGTTCCTTCCTTCAGAAGTTGGAGGGCAAATCTACGACTAAAAGGCTGGAACTTAAGACTCTCCAGTATGTCACGGATCTTTGGACGAGAGATGACGAATATGTATACCCTGCGGATGATGGGAATGATGATAATCTGTATAGTGCAGAATACCGTCACAAACATCAAGACAGCTCTTTCTGCTCGATCTGTGCCAAATGTCGTCTCCCCAATGACCCTGTCTGCGACATCGCAAAGGAATCATCCTGTGCTGTCCTAGGCTGCAGCGCTGAACACTTGGTCAAGCGCAAGGCCAGGAAATTTACGGGGCCTTGTTTCCACTTCGGCCGCTTTGCGTCGGGAGACAGCGTTATGAAATGCGGCATCTACCGTGATAAGATTGTCGCTAAAGAAAAAGTTATTGCATTTGAGATGGAAGGGGCAGGGTCTTGGGATTCTATCCCTACCGTGATTATGAAGGGTGCTTGTGACTATGCAGATAGTCATAAGAATAAGGCCTGGCAGAGATATGCTGCCGCAACAGCAGCCGCGGGGATGAAGGCTGTGATGGAGGAGTGGAGAAGTTCTAGTTAACAGCTTCGTATATCATTTACGACTGTGCTTCAGTGTGGCCAACGTACCTACCATGCAATGAATCTTCCAGCCGTGGGGTATTTACTCTGCTCGGAAAGCCTAGCTTTTCAATATTGTCGTAATTCGGGATATATGAAGCTGTTTTGTATAAATATTGCACCAATACCGTTCTAATAGGCACTACCACATTAATTCTGGATTGATTCTGTCTTAGTATCACCCCGATTTCTAGCACAGTACTTATACAAGTAAATAGCAGGTAACTACCTAAGTAGGTAGGTAGGCTCCTAGGTCGCTACTTAGGAGTCTTGCCTAAGTATACTCATATTTGTGACTACATCGGTATTTACCTAGGTACCTATAGGCAACCTGCGCCCAGATCAGGTAATTTCATTTCTTTCCACAACGTAGATACACAACTTTTGGTCCTCACTCGTATGTAATCAATAGACGTCTTTCGTGCTAAGTTAATTTTTCTGTGCTAGTTTCGCACGTTCTATTCTCGACTATAGTGCAGACACACGTGCAAATCATGGCCACGGCTGGTCCCCGTCAAAATTCCTTTTTTTGCAGCGCACCTTGGACATAATATAGGTTAGCAAACCAAGCAGGCACTTTGCAGTAGTTACCCAGCCTAGCTCTTTATTGACACTAATACTATGGCATTTGAATCCAGTACCATTCCCGCGATCTGGTCTGGTGAACCCTCCCACCACAGCCAGGCTCGAGCGTTTGTTTACACAAATCTAGGGGTCTAACCGTGTTGTACGTCTGACAACGCTGCACCAGACAAAACAGAATCAAGCCCAACACAAAGTGGTGATGTGTGTGGACGATTCTCCAATCCAGTATTGGCTTCATGGTCTAGTGGTATGATTCTCGCTTTGGGTCGCAGAAATGCAATCTTGCGAGAGGCCCCGCGTTCGAGTCGCGGTGGAGCCCTATCGGATTTCCTTTTTGCAGTTCAAGAGTCCATGCTTGAACTGGGTGGCGAGAACTTTTTTAATTTTGCTAATTGGAGGTTGTGGGGATTAATTGACCAGATGTTGTGGCTGCTTGAAGCTCCATGTCAGGGGCAAGGAATGTGATTCACAAGTTCCGTGTAATGAGGCGGCACCAGTGTCCTTCGAACTTCAGGGAATGAGTGGAGGAACTATTCAATGATTTATATTCTGCGGATTGAAAGTGCTAAAAAAACATCAAAATTTTTTTGATAGGTAATGCAGAGGTGGCAACGACCCAGTCTCGTGGCAATGGCCATGCTCAATGGTCATTGATCAAGTGATATCATGTTCAGGTCTTGTAGAGAGTCTGATACACGCACATCAATACAATATGTGTAGGTCGGGAAACTCCAGGTCCGGCTAACTTGGATCTGGAAAGCCTAATAGCCTAATGCCTGTCTCAAAAAAAAAGAGGTCCCCGATCCAAAAAGCTTGGACATTGTTGGTTAGCCAAAAAGAAAGTTCAGGGCTCCACCGCGACTCGAACGCGGGGCCTCTCGCAAGATTGCAGGCAACTCTGCGACCCAAAGCGAGAATCATACCACTAGACCATGAAGCCTTGGCATTTATGTTTATCAGAAACAACTTTCACTCTAAGTAGCATAAACAAAAATATTGAATTTAGTGCAAGCTGAAGCATATCTTAAGAGTATCTATATGTCTTTTAAAATTTCAGGTAAAAATCAATTTTACATTGAGTAAAATGGCAATGTGAGCGCTATAACAGAATTAGTGATTTAACAGACTATAGTATCAATCATTTGTTAAACAGGCCAGCCCATCTAAATAAGTCCGCCCCCCAGTGCTTGCCATCATATCGATTTGCTATTGCACGCGGTAATTTATAATATTGGTAGCCTATAGCAATCAATCTTTACTTTTAATCTACCTCTCGTTGGCTAGCTACATGTTCTCGTGTGTGCATAACTCTCTATGCTCACATCACTCATGGGCGGGTATTGCATATGACGACCCAGAACTACATGTCAGCAAATTGAATACCGAAAGTTCATTCAATTAATATTATAGTGTGTCACTAGGTACCTAGGTATATCGGGAAGTTGAACGATCAAACTTTGGGAGGATTTAGGTAAAGTTTCTGGATCAGACCAGACGACTTTATCGGCGTTCTACATGATGTCTGTAGAAACCGGGAGACTCAGTAGCTGTTCAGCAATTCCATGGAAACTCAGGATATAACTTTACTGTCGGCACAATTGATTTCAACGGCGTGGTATTAAACACGATAGTGCCAGTCAGAGAGTTTCTCTTAAATATTGGGGCCGATATGGAGCACGATCTCGGAGTTCCTCTAACTCGAAAGATATCAATCTCAATGTTAAACCCCAGGAAATTGTTAGCCTCCTATCTGCGTATACTTTAAAAATGCGAAGGTTCTTTGCCATTGGTCACAGCTTAGCACCAAATTTTTAGCTAAAAGAATATGTCGCAAATTATGTGACAATGCTATGTGAATTTGCTATTATAAAAGTAGGATCCCCTTCGAATTCACCATTGAACCGTTAGCCTAGAATCGAGAGACGGGTGTGAGCTTGTAATGTTGCTAACAGTCTTTATAACAAGCCCGACGCTTATGACATGCTCCGCCCATATCACAAGTTCATGGCTCCTGGTACAATTTAGGCATTGATCTCTGGTGCAAACATGGAAATTGATTTTATGAAAACCGGCCAATTGTACTTGCATATGGTCGGTAATTCGTATTCCCGATTTATATGCAGACCCCAATGCGTGATTTAATCTCATGAGAGTTGATATCCGTAGATATATCAAAGCGAAATCCTAAATTTATTAAGCTACGAGGCCTTATCTCAATTTGTTCCTATTCTTCTATTTTATCCTTCCTTTCTTAATAGTGGCTAACTTTTGAGGTCCAACTTTCTTGTATTCCCAAATCTTATATTACTGTATGGTTTTTTTGGTAAAGCTAGGAGTTAACTTGAGAGCTCCCGAGCTGACTTGAGTAATCATGGTTTCTTTGTGTGGGCTACAAAGCAGACTCGAACTGCAGAAACTTTCTTCTAGGTCTGCCGTTTCCCCCTACGTAAGCACATATACACCACATGCGCCATGGTGCCAGATGTATAGACAATATAGGTGGTCCTGTAACTCCACTCGTAAATTCTCTAAGTTTAAGGATCATTCAATGAACAGTAGTAGATTTGGAAGTCTGGGGGGGTACGTTGGGATAGACGAAATCTCGCGAAGTTCAATCGATTGTAATCTACCCCAACACGGTACTGTCAGCGAATGTGCAGGTAATTGCTATGAAATAGTCATAGTTTTGAGAATGTCTTAACTGATTTTCTAACTTAATAGCATGCACTTGATATACGTTATTATTAGTCTGTCGGTAGACTGACAAATGAGTCCTCTGCAGGCCTGGCAGGGTCAGCCGCTTTTACGTGCGTTCCACGTACAAAATTTAGACGAAACACAAGCTCAAGGTCACAACCCGTGTCCTACTCTTTTGTCTATGAGACTTCTGTATACATGTAATAATGGTCAATAAGAAGAGAAACTATGTCGAACCGTTGCCGTGCAAAAATAACGCCCACATATTGGCTACTGAGGGATAACATAAGAAAATACTGCCAAGAATCGACGGCAAAAAGTGAGTTGGCGTTGCATGAAGCATATGTGATCGCAATCGGGGTGCATATATGCGCACACAGGAGCACGGAGTATCGCACATCGGGATATTCCATAATGCATGAGATATAGTACCAAAAAGGAAGTTCGTGCCATCTTGTAAACTTGTCTATCATAACTTACCGCGGATCTAATCAGTCGTATACCATCCGCATAACTTATCTTCGAATCGAACGTAACGTTAACCCGTGCCTGTTCTCGTAGACGTACTAGTCTCCATGAGATAGCCCGTCTGTGCCCAACTATCTACTACGAAAACCAGCTCTATTTCAAGTCTCGGAAACTTACCATAGGCAAAGTCCTCGGTTGTAAGGGGATCCGGAATTGTATTTTGATGTTATATATATTCTTAATCCCTGGCTGACCTTCCATCGAGAGTAAAGGGTACTCTGGAACGGACCGTTTTTATCCGTGTTTCCGGTTACACCGGCCCACATGCACGGAAGGGTAGCATGACCCCCCAGCCTGGATTCGGCACTAGCGATCTGTATCCAAGGCTTCAGAAGCACTAGTGCTGCACGTACCTGCACCTGCTCTACCGAGCGCGATCGAGCTATACCTGTCTACCCCACCATTTTGATCCCTCTATCATGCCCCGCTACGTTATCCGCCACTAGTTGTGTATCATATTTTCGTAACGAAGCTGTGTTCTGCTTCGTTGAAGCTAGTTTACGAGACCATGATTTAGGTGCGAAACAAATATATCATTGTTCGTCACAGCAATTATGAAAGAGACAGATATATCGATAGGCTTACGTATCCTGAGCCTGAGAGCACTTACTGATAGACCAGCTAACTTCAGGTGAATAACATACTGCCAACTCATGAATATGCATACATCTATGCATACATCTATGCATATGAAATCAAGAACTGTAGATCTAGCTGTTATTGTAGTATCACGAAATGAAATACAGTATTTGATCTTACGCTAAAAGGTGTGTGATATCAGTATGATAATGCAGCTCGGGAGTAGCGGCACTTTGGCTAGTAACCAAGGTTTTGTTTTGTGGCTTCTTCTATTAACCACCACTGCATTGGGCAGGTGTCGAGTAAATCTTCTAGCAGTGGTGGGTTCTTAGGTCCTTACCCCGCACCTGGTCTCTTGCAATTTCAAATGATCTGAAGTTATCCCGTAGGCTAGATGTATACCAGCAAACGCTCTAAGCTTCAGTTCGATGGGATCTGGGCTTCCCTAAAAAATGTGTATAAATATCGAAGGTAAAGCCTTGTGATCAGGCTCCTACATGCTAAACTGTGAAAAGACCATCCAAAAAGCTACCGATAGCCTACAGTACTCCAGAAAAGCACAGTTTACACTTTATAATTAGATTCTGCTCTTGAGGCGTAACTATCTAGACAAATATCTTCCTAAATCAATATGCCAGGAGAAAAAAGAATTAGAAAAAACATCCTCGACCTCACTACTGAGGAGAAGGACAAGCTCATCACTGCCTGGAAGGGCATCCAAGAAAAGGAGGCAGACGATGAAAACGGGTTTTTTGCTCTTGCTGGCTTCCACGGCCAACCCTTCCGGGGACCCGGCTACGGAAATGCATCATGGTGGGGTGGCTACTGCCACCACGGCAATGTACTTTTTCCAACGTGGCATCGGGCTTACATTTTACGTCTTGAAGATGCTCTTCGAACTATCCAGGGATGTGAAGATGTTACTCTTCCTTATTGGGATGAGATGAAGGGCGAACACGATGGACAAAAAGAGAGAATAATTCCCAAAATCTTCACTGATAGGAAATATACATTGAACGGAGAGGAAATAAACAATCCGCTCTACTCATACAGGCTCGTGCAAGGATTCAAGGATAGACTCTCAAGGCCGGGCGTGGATTACGGCAAACCTAAGGGCTATGAAACAGTCCGATACCCGTTCTCCGGCCTAGTAGGCAGTAATGACGAACGCAAAACGAACGTCCATAACCAGTGGATGAAGAGATTCACCGACGAACAAACCACCGGATACCTCAACGAGAACCTCAGGAACTGGTTCGAAGACCGGGATAATGGGCAGAATGGTATTGCGCTAGGATTGCGATCGAAATATAGACTATCCTTGGCCGCTCCAAACTACACCGTTTTCTCCAACACGACCTCTGCGGGCGAGTGGAGTGATGTTAAAGAAAAGTTCGTCGTATCCGTCGAGTCTCCTCATAATGGTGGACATCTCGCTATTGGTGGGTATGATATGCCCGATCGGCCTAGCTTCGATGGCGCGAATGGTGACATGGGCGAGAATGACACCGCGGCGTTCGATCCAGTTTTCTGGTTCCATCATTGTTTTATCGACAGAGTATTTTGGCGCTGGCAAGAGATACACTCTGATCTCGAAAAGACTGGCGTAGATGGCGTACAAGTTATTCCTGAGTACCCCGGAACGAGTCCAGTGGATAGTCAAGGCCCGACACCTGGAATGGCGGCTCATGAATGGTTGACAATTGATACCCCTTTGTACCCGTTCAATGGACCTGGTAGTAGTAACGATGCCTCGGGTTCCCAGGGCAGCTCTTTCTGGACATCCAGGGTAGGTGCCGATTCGCTCAATTTTCGCCGGTCGCCAACCCTCTTCTCACGCTAATGCAATTGCTTCTAGTCTATCTCTAATTTGGAAGCACTTCCGTATCAATACGACAACTCCGATATCATCCCTAAGGATGACCCGTTATACGCGTCTATCAGTGCCCAAGCCTCTGGCGGTGGGAAGGGGCCAAAAGGGCCCAACCCACCCCAGCTGAAGCAGCCTGCACATGAGCCTCCCTACCTTCGTATCTCTGGTATAGACCGTGCCAGCATCAAAGGATCGTTTATTATATCCGCCTGGGCTAAGGACGGCAATAAGCCTGAAACATTTCTTGGTTGCGAACCGGTATT